GTATTACACTCACTCCTGAAGATGGCTACTGAAGAAACAGCTAGAGTAAATTCACGCTTATAACGCTTCTATTACTATATTTGTCCATATTTATTATACTGTACATATTTTGTAATTTTAAAAAAATTATATTTAAATTTTCATATATATAATAAATGTAACACATGACCAGAGAAACTTAAAATCGTAATGCTTTATGCATATAAATTTCAAATGGTAAAGAAGGAATCTGCGAGTGGGAAAAAAATTTCCCCAACCGGGATTCGAGCCCAGTACACTGTGCAGGCACCTTTAATGAACTTGGCCATTGAGGCTCTAGTTGCAAGTTCGGTGGCAATTCATAACTAAGAAAAACAAACCTATAACAAGAATAGAATGATTAAACATTTTGCAAATGTCAGCAGAATGCTGAAATCATAATGAAAGCTGAGCAGATTAAAATAAAATCAACAGTAATTTTGATTAGATTTTTTATTAATAACATGGTGCAACACTTGAACAACATTAGTCTAATGAGAAACTTAGAATAACATAGTATAATTAATAGCAAAACTGAGCATTTGCAGAACTACTCTGCAGCTTAGCTCAGTCGGCTAATCTGGTGGTAGCCACTGTGTTTGCGCTGAACCATGGAGATCTGAAGGTCCCTGGTTCAATTCCCACCGATGAGACGTTAAAGCCATTGGTCCCATGTGCATTTATGGCCGAGTACACTCTTCAAAAAAGAGTAGGGGATTGTCTCCCGGTGTACTGCCCAACCACCACCAGAAGGACCCCACTGAAAATAAGGCCTTTTCTAGATTTTCATGGGCAATCCTTGGTGTTTACACAAAATAAATCCAGTCCTACTTGTACTGTGTATTACTGTAAACAGGCATAAATGATATTGTCCTGGAATGACAATTACTAGTCACAGTACATTATTTACTGTGAATTATGAGAATTTAAATTAAAATGTACATTATATTTATCAATTATGGTATAGGCAGCTTAATATTTCAATGTCATTTAATAGTTAAAAATTTTAACATTGTTTGCTTTGTTGTTTCCTACTGCTACTCTCCTTGGTCTATTGGAAATCAAAGTAATTCCTGCTGGGACATTTAATCCATCATCTTCATGATCTATTCGTTTAATAAAGACACCATTTTTATCAAATAATTGTAGTTTATGATTACTTGACACTATTATATTTTCATCCATATCCATGGTTACACCACAAGGACCCCACACTTTACCATCTTCTGTACTAAAGCCTACAAGGATTCGCATAAACTTATCATTTGCATCAAACATTTGTATTCTATGATTGCCGAAGTCAGCAATGATCATATGACCTTCCTTGGTTAAAGTAACATCAACTGGTTCATTCATCTGACCTACTTCACTACCCTTCGAACCTATCTTACTTAGTAGTCTACCATCATCAACATTGAATTTAAACACACAATGAGCCTTACGATCTGCTACATACAGGACTCTAGTTTTTTTGTTTACTGTCAATCCCTCTGGATATTTCAATATTCCTTTACCAAATGAGATGATTTCTTTAAATTTATCATCACACATTACAACACATTTTCCTAAGAAATCACTGTACACCATGTGACCATCATACATTAGATGCATTCTATGGACCTGCACATCTTGTGGCACCTGTATCTTAGCAACAAATGAACCTGATTGGTTGAATTTTAATATATCTTTACTGAAGCTTGATACTAATAAGAATCCATCTGTATTGAATAGTACATCTATCGCATTATAAGTTTTTTTATGTTCTTTATAATCTGATATGTGACCAATGGTATGTACAAGTCCCAGTGATTCCACCTTGATATTCACTGGAGATCCTTTGATGTGCGCCTCTCCCGCAATAATCTTCATTTGCCAATCACCTTCCATATTGCATTTACCTGTTATTTTGTACTCTCCATTTCCTTGATATTCTACCTCAGTGGCTGATTCTTCATGTGATGGGTTGCTTAGAGTTGCAGATAATTCACTTGCATCACTCTCACTTAGGCTTGATACGGTTACTGCAAATGTTTGTCCTTTTATGACGGTAATTGCTTCATCATCTTGATCAACCTTGAACCTGCCATTAACAGTTGTGATTTTACCAATGCATTCAGTATTCATTACATCATCCAAGTAAGTAGATGGAATGAAAGTTGGTGTAATATTTTTTTTATGAAATGATTTATCAAAATCATTTCCTAAGACCTCATCTCTGACAGTGTTGATAATTGTCTTATGGGATTTAAGAGTTCCAGTTTGTTCTGGTTTGTTAATCATTGTACTGATTGAGGCCATCACCTTATTAACTTTAGTCAGCTTTGTATTAATATTCTTAACTTGACCATCAACGTCTTCTTTCTTTTCTTTGTATATTTCTTCAAGGTCTGAAATTAATTTTTTGCTTTCTTCTTTTATTTTATTAATAAGTACCTTCTCCTTCACATCAATAACTTGTTTGCATAATTTTAGGTGATGTTCAAAGGCAGATCTATCATTATTAATATCATCAAGTGTTCCTTTCAATTTGATTTGAATGCCTTGAGCTATATTCATAACCTCAGTAGCATTCTTGTTAAACTCATGGACAGCAGTTTTCATTGGTATCACATTATGATTATTTTGATAGCAACGAATTACATGCTTACAATCCTCACATGCTGATTTCTTGCATGTTGAACAGTAAAATTCCAGTAAATTTTTCCCATGACTTGGACAAGATATTTGACCATCTTTGCTGCCTTCTAATGTGTACGATGATTTGCCAGCAGCCATCTGTGAAGAATTAGAAGTTGAAGTACTGTACTCTCATTTTCATATATGGCATTATGGGACCATTTGAATGTTGGAGCCTATTGTGTCTTACCTGGTCAAATTGACAAATGCCAACAGTACATATTTGTTGACATTTTATAGAGGGGACAATTTGCTGTCCACTTTAAAAAAGAATGTTTTATTTAGCTTTTCTTTGCAAGATAGGATGACTAAATTAGGGCCATGTTGTGTTGCTCTCTGCGACCGACCGAAATTTTCCAGTCATACTAATTACCGTCAACAGCTGTCATCAACCGTCAACATCGCTTATTGACAGTTGTTGACAGTAATTAGTATGTCAACAACGCTTATTGATGGTTGTTGATGGTAATTAGTATGCATGTACATTAATAGTAATTACCATCAACAACTGTCAACAATGCTTGTTGACGGTATTTTAGTATCATATATCATATATATCATATAATTTATTTCGCCTCAGTTAAAATTACAAAAATTACAAACAAAGACATTGCACAAACAAAGGTAAATCAATGAGGCAGGATTGCCTAAATGTTATAAATAAAATAACAGTCGAGAGGCTCTCCACAAAGAAATACCATACACAAAGA